GTGGAACGACGAGCTCCAGGATCGATGCGGGCTCACCGGACCGGGCTATGCCTCACAGGATCGTTCAGCCAGTGCTAGAAGCTTTCAAAGAATCATCCAGATCCTACGATTGCGTACAATGTGCGATTCCGACGTTCCTCTCCTAGGGCCGGTATCAACGATGAGACGTTTCGATGGTACTGGAGGCGGGGGATACCGCTCAAATGTGAGGGCAACCGAGCAAAGAGGGTAATACGGCGGAGGCCAGGTAGGGTGCCTGGGGCCGCGACTAATGACGGGACCGCTGCCGGTGCATCCCAGAATCCGTATGTAGGCTCTGCATCATGGGTACCGCATACATGAGGGTGGGCGGCCACTTTACGAGGACGAAGTAGCACAAAACGCCAATCCAGCCGTATTTTATTGTGATGGGAGGTGCAATATGGTAGCACCGGCCTCTCACATGCTGCTGGGATCGCGGTGCTCCCAAGTGCGCGGCGACATATTGGCTCGACCAAGCACAACAAGCTATATAATGTCAAACACGTTGCTGATAGAGTTACACATAATATACCCATGTCTAGGGGGTGACCAAGGTGCCTTAGGTTTGCTCCGCCTCCCAGGGGAAAGGGGACAGCTGCAAGTTCGGGGCCATGGAAGTTCACAAACTGACTAGAGTCAGTTTAGAATATTCACACAGTAAGAAATAAAATTTTCACGATCAGTTCGGGACCTGAATTTTGGCAGGGGACAGGGGACAACACGGGAAATTAGGTTCAGTTCAGGCTGGCAGGGGACAGGGGACGAACCTAAGGTCCTAAAACTAGTAGTCATCTGCGTCTATCAAATGGGTTACTGTAACAGATCATCCATTTGTTGTACAGAATGATGCAAACCTTACTCATCAATGACATCACCTCAAGATCCAACACCTATATAAATACGAAAATTTTGTAATGTAGCACAGAGTTCTTTTGCAATACAACAGGATCCAACTGATTTGTTGCGCTATGTGCTCCCTTTTCCTTCCCTCACATGCATAAGTGTTGCATACTCCTTACAGTTACTAAGGCCCCATTTGGTTGGGTTTGATTCTGTGAGAATCAGGCGCCTAATTTGACTTTGCTTGACTTTTGTCCTCCTCATATGGCAAGCCCCTGTTCTATTGTGTTGAGTTTGTCTCACAGTCTTACCGTTTATGGTATGCAAGCAGAGTCAAATCATCTGATTCTTCCAGAATCAGGTGTTGCCAAACGGGGCCTAACTGTTATTGCAAATCCAGAAGTGCGTGTTCCATTTGCCTTCATCATCGCTGATGCTATTCCACACCTACACGGTGATAAAGGTCATTTCATCAAGAAAAATCTTGAACACCCTGAAGACGCACACAGCAATTCTGTCAGCATTGGTATGGGTGTACAAGATGCCATTGTGCAGAGTGTGTTCAACAATGAAGAACCAAACACTGTTGCAGACGGTTTGGTCAGGACTGCAGTGACGACTGCCAGTACCACAAAGAGGGACACTGAGCGTGTTGGGCCCCTGACCATCCGTTATGCTCACTGAGCGAATGACATCAAAAAATAAGTCAGAAAAATCCTGGACCCCTGTATCTAGGAAATGTGCCATGTTGCCCATACTGTCTGATAGTACTCAATTCAATTTGAGTACCATGAACATGTATTCCTCCTTGGCCATTGATGATGACCAGGAGGAGGTTGACTCTGAACCCAAGGTCAGCATATTCATCTGAAAAAATCTTGATCTATATAGCTGCCCCTCAGAACTATGGACACTATTGTAGTGCTATGGATGCTATATAGAAGTTGCCCAGTTGCTATTTAGTGCTATGGTTGCTATGTAAGTATGTCAGTTGCTATATAGTGCTATATAGTAACTATAGGTAATATAGTTCAAAGTACTAGCTACATAGTAATACATGGCTCATAGGTGCGGTCAATATAGCACCCATGGGTTTGGTATGTATCTGTATAGTGGTGATAGCAGGGCTCCCAACTTACACCTATCATGATCTAAGTCAGTCTCAGGTCCTGAACTGTAGTGTTAGCCTATACATTGTCAGATATATGCATGAATAAACTATGTACAAGGTGGCTAAGTATCAACAAGCTTGTGCTATGTGAATGGACACAGTGGCCAATGTGGACTTATAGATTCAACACGAAATCACATGTCATGTGACAGCCCAAGTCTGTCCTCCCCTTTGGTTTGTCATCTTAGCCCACCGCACTGGTAAGTGCGCTCAACATTGCACTGGCAAGAGCGCCGTCTGCCGCAGGGGCAAGAGCGCCGCCCACCACGCCGACAAGTGTGCTGGTCCACTGCATGCAAGTGCGGATCCTGTCATGGCACACCTCCAGTACTTGTCTTTTCCTATTTCCTCGCATTCCCCACACAGTTGTTTTACCCCTTCAGGTTTCCTAGGAGCTCCCAGATGCTCCTTCCACTCTTTTGGATTTCTTAGGAGCCTGTCACATGTCGATCCAGACCGATCTACGCCGATCCGCTCCACCGATCATCACCGATCCGCACCGATCTTCTCCGATCCGTTCTCTGACTCTTCGCTGACCTCTTTGCTGACACCAATCCCGCCTTTCCCGTTTCGGCTGAGGGCGGGATACACCTATCACATGTACTGGGCCACCGGCGGCTCAACACCCCGGTGGTTCCAGATCTTTGAACGGATTCAACTCCGACTTTCCTGATCCCTGTTCCCTTTGTTTGACATCATAGTTTCCCTTTGTAGACTTTAGTTTCCCGTTGCTTGCAACGGATCCTTTGGTCCGTCCTTTCCGCCTCTTCCTTAGATATGTTCCCTTTGTGTTCCATGCGTTATCTCTCGTTTCTGTATGTTTCCTTTGTGCGCCAAACGGCGCCTCCGATCTCTGCATCTCTGACTTTGCCACTGTTCTATTTCATGTATATAAACCGTCGAACTGTACCGTAGATAGTCAGTTTGAATATCGACTAAGCTTCATCCTCTCTCTCCTGCAGACTCAGAGTGTGTAGCAGCCTAGTGCACGAGCTTAGGCTTGGTCCGCATCTGATCTCAACTTCACCAACACTTCTGACTTATCGACTCAACGCCAACGCGTCTCCAACTCCTCTCTGACTCTACCTTTTGAGTTTCTCTTTCTCTTTCATTCTATTCTTTGTATATACATTTCGGACTTCGGTCCTCCGACCTTGTTCCCCTTTGTTTGCATCTGATCTTGACAGTATATTCAAACTAGGCTACACTCTCTACTATGCTTCACCGTTCTCCCCGTTTTGCAGGTCAAGTGCCTGCTTCTCCGACTATTCCTTCTTATTCCCTTCTTGATCCCGATAGTACTACTGCTCGCCCCTACTCTCACGCAGATCCAAACATTTTTACAGGTTTCGAGGGTCACTCGGGCGGTTTTGCCACTACTCCGCAATTGGCGCTCTATGCCGCCCAACAGGCTAGCCTTGCTCGGATGCGCGCCAATGCACCTGTTCTTTCAGAGAACATCCTAGGACTTCCGCGTGCTCCTGCTGTGGCCTTCAGCATGGCCATCGCCAACGATGCTCTCGAGTAGTTCCGCAACGGTGAAACTCTTCCATCCATTTCCTCCGATCCCCGCCAACACAACACTATCGATATCTCTCATACTCCGCCTCTTACTAGTCGCCAACCTGTTGATGCCGACGAGTCTGACGAGTCTGACAACGATGACGACGACGACGCCAACAATGCCAACAATGCCAACAATGCCAACGCCGACAACATCGACAACACTGCTGTCGGAGATGATGGTAACGATGAAGACAACGACATCGACTTCAACCCCACGCCAGGTGGCGGGGATGGCAGCGGAGGAGATGATGGAAACACGGAGGAGGCGGCGGGGGAGGTCCCAACCCACCTCAAGGAGGCCCTGCTCCTGTGACGAGCGACGTGCAGGGGAACACCCATTGGGGTTACCAACTACTCAGACAGCCGGAATGTCCAAGTAATCGGGTAGAGTTGGATGGAAGAGCAACGTCGTCGGCACTTACTTTAGGCAAGAGTACACGCAGAAAAGGAGGAGCTGGGCTTGACTCAAGGTCACTGGACTCAAGGTCGACAGCGACGCAATAGGCACCTAATGGACTCAAGGTCACACACTAAGTCCCCAAGACACAAGTTAGCATAGTATCTAGTACAGAGACAGTTACTCACCTAAGTCCCCAAGACACAAGAGGTCAAGATGGGGACTTAGGGCGAGCTACAGGGGTCTTATATACACAAATCCATGGTCCAAGAATAGTACAAGAGAATCACATGCAGGGCACAAGGATGAGTAAGATCGACCCACTTAGGTGGGTCAGGATTATGAATCAAGGAGTTAGAAGGAATAACGAGTCATTATTCATGAGTAAGTGGAATAAAACTCCGGTGGCTGTGCAGGGCTGTGCAAGGCAGTGCAGGGCAGTGTCAATGATGTTGTACTGCTGCCACTGAAGGTCACGTGACTTTGGAAAAGGAAAGGTGGTAAAAGGAAAATGACAAGTCCATATCTGGAAATAAAAAATGCGAAAATAAATTGTCCTTTTCCTCTCATCACAGACCTCACACCCCAAAGGCATGGTTCGATGCACCAGACGGGGAGGGGCACCAACGAATCATGGCCAGATCCTGACGGGCAGCCGTCCGGGCATCGTCACCAGAAATGGTCGCGCGAACACTCGCCCCCCAGGAGATGCCACTCTCGCCACACATCGCCAGAGAAGAAGAGAAGACAACGGGACTCTTCCTCCGGGTCGCATGGCCAAGCGCAGAGCGATGAGGAAGAGGGCTCAGGATCCCGCCCTAGGAGACGTTACACCCGGTCCCCGTCATCCTCAAGTAGTTTGCCACATGGGTCGCGGCCGTCTTCAAGGGGTTTGTCCAGGGGAAGCCACTGACGCAGGTCTTCAAGGAGCTCATCGCCAGGATCCTCGCTGTCCAACCACCGGTCGAGGACCACACATGCACGTCGCCACTCTCCGCGCAGAGATCACTCGCGGAAACGGTGCTCGAGGTTGGAGCGGCACATACACCGCGTACAGGAAACGACCAAAGATCCGCACCGCCCGCAACTTGTCAGGGGAAAGCAGGCAAAGGCCGATTGCTACTTGATCCCCAACCCCATCTGGAAGAAGTTCCAGGAAGGGTGGACAACCCACATCCCGCTAAACTATCTCACCGACAAGGCCGTCGCAGAATACGGCTGCAATACGTTGTTCCTCCTCATGGACATGTACGCAGTTGACCCCGCAAGAGGCCTCATCCAGGCAGAGAAGGTTCTCCCATCGGCCAGAGAACTGAAACTGTCGTTCGGGGAGTGGCACCAGGCTTGGAAGCGACTGCTCCAGCTGATCAAGACCTACTTCCCCCACGACTACGAGCGGTGGAAGAAGCACTTCCAGCACATATGCTGCACGGATGGGGCTACTTCCAAGAACTGGACCCTATGGCTTGCGTATGATGCGGAGGTCCGCCGCCGATGTCACCTGGAGGGTATAGACCCCGGAGCCTTCCATAAGAACATCTGGAAGAAGGTGGAGCCCACGCATATCAAAGCACAGGTCATGGCTTCCCTGCAGCCCTTTCGTGCCCAAACTGCATCGCGGAGCTCTGGCTCCAGACCTGAACATTCGTCAAGGCACGCATCTGGGTGGGCCCAACTCTCCTCTCCGAAACCCATTGACTCGAGGTGCTTCTTCTATGGCAGAAAGGGCCATAAGGCCTCGGCCTGCAAGGCTGACAGGCTCATCAATGGGCAGCCGATCAGGCTCACCCGCGGTGACGACCGTTTGGTCAAGGACGACAAGGGCCGCCAATACTGCTTCTACTTCAACATGGCCGGCGGGTGCACGAAGAAGGACGCCAGACCCTGCGCCAAAGGAGACCACCGGTATACCCTTTGCGGGGGTACGAACCACGGAGCCCAGCTGTGCACCATTGTGTGTTGAGGCGTTCCGGATCACCACTCCATTCATCACGTCTCGCTGGGACAAGGCACTCGGTAAATACGATCTACACGGGAGGTTCCCCGGAATTGTGTCGAGTATCTTGAACGGTTTCAACATCGGGGTCACCTCTTCGCTAATAGAAACATATAATCCTCCTAACCATCGCTCGGCAACCGAGAACAGCGAGGCAATTGACACTTATGTCGTAAAAGAGAGGCGCGTGGGGCGCTACATGGGCCTGTTCTCCAAGCCGCAGCTCAAAGCGCTTATAGGGCCATTCCAAACGTCTCCGCTGGGGGCCGTTCCAAAAGCCGGCACGCACGAAATGCAGATGATCCAATATTTTTCATTCCCACATGACAACCACTCCCAGGTGTCAGTTAGCAGCAAAATCGATACTGACCTCTTTCAATGCGAATGGGGGTCATTCACCAAAATGGTGCTCCTGGTCATGGAAGCACTGTCGAACGCTCAAGTTGCAATGCTCGATGTAGATGCGGCCTTTTGCTGCATTCCAATACGACCGGATCAGCAGCGCCACTTCATCGTCCACTGGCGCAGTCAGTTTTGGATGGACCACAACGCGCCATTTGGACCAGCAAGCTCCCCAGGCATCTGGGGCCGGGTTGCGGACTGTATGGCAGCCATCTACCTCACCTGGGGGGTAGACGCACTGAAAAAGTGGGTTGATGACTTCGCCTTCTTCAGATACCCACGAGATACGGATGCGAATGGAGAGCCGAGCTACTGGTACGGCATCGCGGAGATTATGGCACTGGCAGACGACCTGGGATGGCCATGGAAGCCGTCGAAGATGCATGATTTCGCCCAGGTCTTCAAGTACTTAGGATTTGTTTGGGACCTGGTGGCGAAGCGCGTCTCAATCCCAGACGAGAAGAAATTGTGCTACCTGGGCAAGCTAGAAGCCTGGACACCGGGCAACTCCTTCACAAGGAAGGAGGCCGAGCGGCTCCTTGGGACTCTCGTTCATTGCAGCATGGCTATCCCAGACGGATGGTCACGTCTTGTTCATCTATCCAAGTTCACTAGCTCATTCCACCACACCTCGTCACCGTTTGCGAAGAGGAGGCCGAACGCGCAGGTATTTGAAGACATCGAGTTCTGGAAGGCTCAGCTGCGGTTACAAGAATGCGGCAGTACTCTCATGGTACCGTCACTCGTCTCAACATGTGATCTTTGGGTAGACGCCTCCACTTCGTTCGGGGTTGGAGCAGTCATCAATGACACTTGGGACGCATGGGCATTCAAGCCAGGCTGGAAAACCGACAGGCGCGACATTGGCTGGGGAGAAATGGTCGCAGTCAAGTTCGGATTGTGTCTGGCAATCGTGAGAGGCGTTTCGGACACACATTTGGTCATGAAATCGGATAACCAGGGCATTATCAGCACCCTAGAAGCTGGAAAGTCAAGGAACGTCAAACAAAATCGGGTTCTTCAGAGGGTAGTTGTGCTTATGCGCGAGGCTAACATCTGGATCGTATCCCAATACATTCTGTCAAGCCAGAACAGGGCCGACAAACCCTCGAGGGGGATTGCCCCAAAGGGTCTCCCACAATTTGAATCTCCTATTAAGATACCTTTCTGCATAACCGGACTCATAGCTAGAGTGACATCACTGTAATTACTACACCCTGACATTATTTGCAGTCACTCGGAAAGTGAGCAAGAGGAGTCATAGACACGAGGCACCTCGCGGCAGCTCTTGCCACTTACGCCAACCTTCTCATGCACACAGCGATGACACCTTCCACGACAAGGCGCTCTTGGTGGTGGGACATCCACCCATCGCAATGGGACTCCCTCGCAAACGATCACTTCATCCTACCACACTTGAGATCGCGGTTGGCGAGGCTCCACAACCCAAACAAAATCAGGTTGTCTGCGGCGACAGAGGAGCACTTGGCAAGGGCTCTCCTTCACGGGTGGGCCCCATCTACTCTTAGAGGATACAATAGCGCAGTGAATCGGTTTATTCAATTCTGCAGAGACGAGAAGATCCACCGACGATTCTGGCTCCCAGCGGATGAACTTGTACTCTGCATGTTCGCCGCGTCGAGCGAAGGCCACCATGCAGGCAGCACCGCCAGGAACGCCCTCGCCAGGCTCAAGGCTTGGCATTCTGTGCAGAACGCAGAATGGAAAGGAGGCAAACACCTCGATTACGTCCTGAACGGGGTGGAGAACAGATGCCCCACCCTCTCGCATAGACCACCCTGCCTTCCCATCAATCAGAAGATGCTACGCATCCTCAGGGTGGGCCTGGACCTGTCAGACAATGTCAACATGGCCGTCTTTGCGGCCGCGTGTGTGGCTTTCTGGGGCCAATGCCGCCTAGGTGAACTCCTCCCATCCTTGACAACGCCGGCAGCCGCAAAGAGGAACCTGAGTCATGCAGACATCACCTTCCCGACACCTGCATCCCCCTCCCACGTCATTCACCTCCCATCGATGAAGGTCCGCTTCAGTCAAGGTGAAGATGTTGTCATCCTCCACCAACGCAGCTCGTCGGACCCCATCGGAGCTCTGCGGCATCACCTGTACTGGAACAAACCGGGATCCGACGACCACCTCTTCGCCTACCGAACAACCTGCAGCATCTGCCCTCTTACCCGGTGTTTCTTCATGCGGAAATGCAGCACAATCTGGAGTCAGGCCAGCCTGCCAAGGTTCATGGGACATTTGTTCCGCATCGGAGGTACCATGGAACTGTTACTGGCCAGCATCCCACCCGACGTCATAAAGAAAGCCGGGCAATGGTCCTCCGGCGCCTTCCTGCGCTATTGGAGGGTGGTCAAAGGCATTCTCTCATCACACATGCAGCATCTCCCACCAGGCCAATCCCAGTACTTTCTCTGACGATCACGACTGCAAGGTGGGGGTCAGCTGGGCACGTGCACCACTGCTGGGGTGCGGTCTGGGCGAGCCGTCGTGCTCGCACCTGGCCTGCACCCAAGCTGACACGCTTCACCCACACCTCACGGTGGACCTCTCTGCGTGCTCCCTGCGCAAGACTGCAGGACTGCAACCCGCCCAAGAGTGGGTGCACCAGAGCGGAGGCCACGAGTGGCAGTGCCAGTTCTTGGGTGGAGGAGGTTGCCTCGCTGGCTCCCTTGCTTCTGCTTCTGATGGCAATGAGGGTGTCGAGCTCCTTCGTTGTTTTTTCATCCCGCCCTCCACTCCCTGTCATCACAGACACACTTTCCGTGGTCTCTAGGAGCATGGTGTTGAGATTCACAACGTGTATTACAATAGAGAGTAGAGAGTAGATCACAACACTCCCTAAGCACACTGAGCACACTGAGAGTTCCAACCAAGTAGGCCGGGGGCAAGCCGTCGCGCTCGCACCCGGCCTGCGCCCAAGCTGACACGCTTCACCCACACCTCGCGGTGGACCTCTCTGCGTGCTCCCTGTGCGAGACTGCAGGACTGCAACCCACCCAAGACGTGAGTCCGCCATGCAAGCCCAGGCGGCCACCGCTACAAACACCGCTACAAACATCACGACTGGCAAGTCCGACGCACCGGCGGCGTCGAGCTTGTCAAAATAAGCGGTGACCCTCTCATCTCCGCACGGGATAAGGGTCGCCCCGACTCTAGCCGTGTGCCTTCCGAAGTCCGACTTTATGCCAACTCTATGCCTTCCCCTGACTCGCTTACTATCTATGCCACCACCCCTGCTATAGACCAACCATTTCATACGCTTGTAGACTCGGGTTCCTCTCACTGCTTTATCGATTCCGCTTTTGTACGGCATTATAACCTAAAAACCAAAAACATTCCACCCATCCGTCTCCGACTTTTCGACGGCTCTAGTAACTCAACAATTACCTCCGCCGTCGATCTAGAAGTTCACCTACCGTCTGGAGACTCCTTCAACTCTCGCTTCTTTGTTACTCCGCTGGACTCAACGGTCTCTGCTGTATTGGGACATGACTGGCTCACCCGCTTCAATCCGTCGATTGATTGGGTTTTGGGTCATCTCCTTCTCCGATCGCCTCCGACCGCAGTGTCAGCATCTCCAGTCTCAGCGCTCCCTGACGAGGGCAGCACTACTCCAACACCTCCGCCTACCGGCTCCGCCTCAAGCGACGAACCAGCAATTGCGTTGGTCAACGCCGAAGCGTTTGTCTGCGCATGCCATCAAGAAGGCGCGACCTCTTTCCGACTTAGCCTGGCTACCACCGATGTTTATGGCCGTGGAGTGTCCACCTCCGATGCAATCGACCCCTCTATACCTGAGGAGTATCGTGAGTTTGCAGACGTTTTCAGCAAAGTCCACTCGGAGATGCTTGCTCCGCACCGGCTGTACGACCTCAAGATCGACCTTCTTGAAGGTACCTCTCCACCACTAGGACCGATCTACTCGCTATCGCAACCGGAGCTGAAGGCCCTCCGTGAGTTTATCGATGAAAACCTGCGATCTGGCTTCATCCAACCTTCCAACTCCGCACACAGCACGCTGGTCCTTTTCGTCAAGAAGAAGGACAGCTCTCTCCACCTGTGCGTTGATTTCCGCGGCCTCAACCGGATCACAAAGAAGGATCGATACCCACTTCCGCTCATTTCTGACCTTCTCGACGCCCCTCGAAAGGCACGTCTCTACACCAAGATCGATCTCCAACACGCGTACCACCTGGTCCGCATCGCCAACGGAGACGAATGGAAGATGGCTTTCCAGAACCGCTATGGCTCCTTCGAGTGGTGCATCATGCCATTTGGCCTTTCCAACGCGCTGGCCGTGTTTCAGCAATTTATGAACGATATTTTCTCTGACCTACTGGACGTGTGTGTTATTGTCTATCTTGATGATATACTCATCTACTCCGACGATCCTTCGCAGCACCAGGAACAGGTCCGCGAAGTCCTCCAATGTCTCCGAAAGCATGGCCTTTATGCTCGCACCGACAAGTGTCTTTTCGGCGTGGACACCGTGGAGTACCTTGGCTACATCCTCTCTCCATCTGGTCTCACTATGGACGAGGAGAAGGTTCACGTGATCCGCAAATGGCCAGAACCCCGCAAGGTCAAAGACGTCCAATCCTTCCTCGGCTTCGCCAATTTCTACCGCCGATTCATCTATAACTACTCCGACATTGTTGTTCCGCTTACGCGTCTCACTCGCAAGGACACACCTTTCCTCTTCTCCGACGAATGCCAACATGCCTTTAATCGTCTGAAGGAGGCCTTTACCTCTGCTCCGATTCTTACTCACTGGGAACCTGACCGACAACTCATCGTCAAGACCGATGCCTCCGACTACGCCATTGCCGGTATTCTCTCCATTGTCTGCGCCGACGACGAAGTCTGACTGGTCGCTTTTCACTCCTGTACATTAAACACGTCGGAGCTGAACTACGACACGCATGACAAGGAGCTCTTGGCAATTTTCGAGTCTTTCCACACCTGGCAACACTATCTCGAAGGCTCAGGAACGCCCATCGATGTGATTACCGATCACAAGAACCTGGAGTACTTTGCTACGACTAAACTCTTGACCCGCCGGCAAGCCCGCTGGTCGGAGTTCCTCTCCGCGTTTAATCTCGTCATTCGTTTCCGACCGGGTCGACTCAGCGAGAAGCCCGACTCCCTTACTAGACACTGGGACGTCTACCCAAAAGAGGGGGATAGTGGCTATGCTCATGCTAACCCGCACAACTACCGTCCCATCTTCACCTCCGAACAACTCTCCGCTTCTCTCCGCACGACGTACCTACTCACTCCGTCTCTCCACACGTCGGAGTTGATGGACATGCAGTCCCTACACGATGACATTCGTGCAGCCATCTCGACCGACCCGACCGCTAAGGAGCACGCGAATCCTGCTCCTGACTCTCGCTGGTCTTGGTCCAACGAATTCTTGCTTCTAGATGGCCGCATATACGTCCCGGACGCAAACAATCTCCGACTACATGTACTCTGCTATAAGCACGATCATCCAACCTCCGGTCACTTCGGACAGAACAAGACACTCGAGCTCGTCCGACGCGAGTACGTATGGCCCAACATTTGCACCTTCGTCAAGGACTTCTGCACCTCTTGCGTGACTTGCAAGCGGGGCAAATTGGTGCAACACAAGCCGTATGGTCTCCTCCGACAGCTTCTGATTCCCAAACGACCCTGGTCCGCCATCTTGATGGACTTTATCGAGCAGCTACCCTCCTCTGACGGATGTACCGCCATTTTGGTGGTCGTTGACTGCCTTTCCAAGCAAGCAATCTTTATTCTGACCACCGATACCATCACCTCCACCAAACTTGCCAAGCTGTTCGTCATGCACATCTTTTCAAAACACGGAGTACCCCAACACGTCACCTCCGACCGAGGTTCGGAATTCGTTTCGCACTTTTTCCACTCTTTAGGACAGGTACTGGACATGCAACTTCACTTCACCTCTGGATATCACCCCAAAGGCGACGGACAGACGGAACACGTCAATCAGACTCTAGAGCAGTATCTCCGAATGTACTGCAATTACCAGCAGGACAACTGGGCCAAACTCTTACCCCTCGCTGAGTTTGCCTATAATAACACTCCAAACGAGTCTACTGGCATCTCTCCGTTCTTCGCTAACAAGGGTTACCATCCCTCCATCACAGTTCATCCCAAGCGCGACGTCACCTCCGAACGAGCCCGACAATACATGGTCGACCTCGACGACCTCCACCGCAAACTCCGCTCTCGGCTTGCGGAGGCGCAACACCGGTATCAAGGTCCCGCCAACAAGCGCCGACTACCAGCTCCAGACTTCAAAGTCGGAGCTCAAGCGTTTGTGAAAGCTCAGTTTTTCCGCACTAGACGTCCCTCGAAAAAGCTGTCTGACAAGTACCTTGGCCCTTTCGACATTATATCTCAGGCTGGCCCTTCCTCGTTCGTCCTCCAACTGCCTGACTCCATGCAATCCGTACACCCGGTCTTCCACGTCTCCCAGCTCGAGCCTGCTCATCCGAATACCATTCCGAACAGCGTACAATCTTCGCCGCCGCCGATCAAAATCGACGGAGAACTCGAGTACGAGATCGCCAAAATCTTAGACTCGAAGCTGGACAAGTGCTACCGACGATGTCCACTGTTCTATGAGGTTCGCTGGCTCGGATACAAAGGCACCTCTGACGAGAAATCGTGGATCCGAGCGTCGGAGCTGACTCACGCTCCGGATCTCGTTGCAGCCTTCCATGCTCACTACCCCGACAAACCAGGACCAGAGTATTGATTGCATATACGCCCTGCCTTTCTCGGCGTGGGGCTTACCGGGCGCTGGGCTCGCCTACAGGACGCTCGAATGACTATGCTATGCTACATCCCCTACTCCTCTGACTCTTCCCCTTCTTCTTTGCCTTTGGCCTCACCCTCCTCCGACTCCGATCCACCCTGCCTCGATGACCCCTCCACGAACTCTGCCACCTGACTCGTCAGGGCCTCCACCTGCTGCCGCAGGCTGGCCAGCTCGTCCTGGACCCGTTCCTCCGACCCGCCGACGATCCGCTTGATCTCGTCCAGGAGGTAGGAGTGGTCATTGGACCGCTCTCCCTGGCGCAAGGCCCGCTGCGCCTCCATCACCTCCGACCACAAATTATCTTCATTGTGGCGGGGACAGGCGGTCCGAGATTCTTGACGGCGCGGAACGACGGCGCTGGCCGTCGGAGCGCACGGAGTGGCACTAGCGGTCAGGGCACGCGGTGCGGCGTTCGCGAACGAACATGGCTTCTTGCTGCGCGCACAATTGCGGCATGCCGTGGCATTGCCTCGGGCGACGGGTGGCTGGCACCCCTTCTTTGTGGCCTTGCACTGGAGGCACGGCGTGTTCACCTCCGGCTACAAGACGGTCAACTCCGACTTCGGTATTTTTTCGGAGACGGCTTACCTGCCATATGTTGTCGTCATCAACGACCGAGGCCGGCTCATCGTGCTTAGCCCGCTTCACAGGGGCCGGGTCTGGGAGCAATAGCTCCGTCTGACCGTGACGACGCTAGAAATCGCCGAAAATTAGCTTTTGACTCCATTTCCAACCACGTACTGGATACGTACCTTGCTCGACGCGGCGGAGACCTCGCTGCGGACCTCCGCATCGGAGCACGTCGTGCTCCGCGACACCGCTCCCGCTGCATGAACCGTTGGCACTACCACCTCCACTCGACCACTCCGCGTGGCCTCCGACGCTCGGCCCTTTCCTTTCCCCTTAGCACCCCTCTTCGGACACTTCGGCGTCTCCTGCTCCTCAACCGGCGACTCTATCGGCTCGTCTTGGGGTGGTGCGACGCTCGCTGACACCAGTTTCTTCGGATTTTTGTCCTCAAGGGCGTGGAGACGGGCGCGCAACTTGGCACGCTCTTCGGAGACCAAGCGGGTTACTGGCTGACTGGCGGAGGTCTTCTTCTGAGGGCGGGGAGGCATAGTGGATGAAGGCAAGAGACAAAATTCGAGTCATCAAGTCTGATCACTTATCCAGATTGATCGCCTCGAGGGCTCGGCGGCTAAGAGGGAGATACTGTCACGTGTCGATCCAGACCGACCTACGCCGATCTGCTCCGCCGATCGTCACCGATCTACACTGATCTTCTCCAATCCAATCTCCGACCCTTCACCGATTTCTTCGCCAACGCCGATCCCGCCTTTCTTGTTTCGGTCGAGGGCGGGATACGCCTATCACATGCACTGGGCCACCGGCGGCTCAACACCCTGGTGGTTCCAGATCTTTGAACGGATTCAACTCTGACTTTCCTGGTTCCTGTTCCCTTTGTCTGACAGCTTCCCTTTGTAGACTTTAGTTTCCCGTCGCTTGCAACGGATCTCTCGGTCGGCACTTTTCCGTCTCTTCTGTAGATATGTTCCCTTTGTGTTCCATGCGTTATCTCTTGTCTCCGTATGTTCCCTTTGTGCGCCGAACGGCGCCTCCGATCTCTGACTCTCCGGCTTTGCCATTGTTCTCTTTTATGCATATAAACCGTTGAACTGTACCGTAGATAGTCAGTTCGAATATCGACTAAGCTTTGCTCTCTTCCTCCTGCGGACTCAGAGCGTGTAGCAGCCTAGCGCACGAGCTTAAGCTTGGTCCGCATCCGATCTCGACTCCACCAACGCTTCCGACTTCTCGACTTCACGCCGACGTGTCTCCGACTCCGCTCCGACTCTACCCCTTGAGTTTCTCTTCCTATTTCATTCTATTCTTCGTATATACATTTCAGACTTCGGTCCTCCGACCCTATTACCTTTCGCTTGTATCCAATTTTGACAGAAGACAAGAGTGACGGAGAAGGATAGGAAGGCAGAAGAAGAAGTCTGAATATTCAACTCCGTCCAGGAGAAATGCCAAAGGCGTCCCTCATGTGAATCCTAGAAGGCTAAATTTGGGAAGTATGACAGCAGCCCCTGAAAGAAGCCACAATGGCCAGACAAATGGTGACCGGGTGCAGCACTCTAGACCACCAAAGAACGGTTGGTCCTATGAAAGGAAACGAAGCGCCGCAAAGCGGAAATGCATGTGGGAAGAATAAGGAAGCCCGCACATGCAAAATACCCACACACAATAGTCTGACTGCTCCCCCCATACCGCGTACGCACAAATGGGATAGTCTCCCTCTCACCTCTACGTTCACCAACATCCTACTATGCCATATGATGAACTTTTGTCTGGACCTAATCCATTCCCCAGCCAGGTAGACAACATTCTACCCCCTCAAAGCAAGAAAAGCGACCGACAACCCCTCCATAGCCGCAATCGGCTAGAGCTTCCCAGTGATGTTCAGGATTTCGATACAACCGACAGCGACACCGACTCCAGCTCTGTCACCTTTGCCGCCAACCCAGAATATTACAATCATTTAATGACCAATATCGCTCTCTGGCAATGCCGTTCAACTATGACCCTGCAGCTAGGGGACTTGTGGAGCATCCTCAACCCCGACAACCTCACAACCATGTCATGGGACGAGTGGATTCCCCTCGTCTTTGACTCCCCCTCTGACCACAACATTGCCGGGTGTACCGGACGCGAGAGCTATAGCTGGTCTAACGGCCCACCCCTCCAAACCCTCCGACCTGCTCACCTTCTTCGACGAGAGGCGTGGATGCTGAGCCTGGTCTGGCACTTCCGGCTCCTCTGTTCCCTAATCCACTTATCCCACGCATTGGCTGCCTGGATGATGGCAGCTTCTCAATCCTCACCATTCCTGTTGACATGGAGAACCCCCTTATATAGATGCTTGTGGCACCCATCTTCGGGAACGTGCACATCGGCATACACATTTGTATGGAGTACACCAGCACCTGGGTGCGTGGCACCGTTCGGTCCATATTCCGACTACACGACGACTGTGTCACCTTCGTGCATGGAATTGTTGTGTTTCCAGGGCAGGTCATCATCAACTCGGAGCGCGTCATGTTACGTGTCACGCCTGAGCTTGCCCGTCTGTCAATGCGAGACTGGATGAAACACAACATTACCAAAGCTGCCGATGCCACCATGCAAGCCAGTATGCACATCCAACACATGCTCAGATTGACTACTGTTCTAATCTAAAATTAAATCAGATGCATTCAGCAGCTAGGATGAACCATGGGTGGCAATGGTAAGGGAAGAAGACACGTAGATTTGTTTCGAATTTTTTTGTATTAGACTATACAAACTCAGCGCCAGGATATGCAATGGATATCAAAAGGAAAATAAAGGATATCCTGTAAATAATCTGACAGGGAGTGTCCGACACCAGGACAATGAACCGGTAACCAAGGAAAACTACTGAATGAAATCTATAGCCGGCATACTCCATGCCCCGACAGCCCCATGCAGAAGGGTATAAGTTTAGATTGTCACAGAAGGTCAATTCAATACAATGTACTATTCCTCCTGAGTCACCCAAACTGGATTACCAAAGCATCAGATAAGCCTGCGAGAACGTCCAATCACACATCTGATAGAACCGCACCGAAAAAGCACACCAACTATCCTACGCTGCACGAAGCCTCGCGCAGAGTGACACTTAAGTCATGGCTTGCTCTCTTCCTCCCCACCAGGAAACTACCCGTTCTATTGTAAGACACCATGCAGCTGCTCACTGAGATCTCCCTCTCTGACCGTGACGACCACCCTCTCACTCGTCATGGACCTCCCGCCAGCAAAATGAGTCAAGTTGTGAATGCACTCTACACATCTGGCAGTGAGGGCATGCCTATGTCGTCTGCAGTGATCACGCCACCCCGACTTTGCCAATACCTTTCTATTCCATCATCCCCACCACCTATGACAACTACCAACACCACTCTTTCTTACATGCCAGAGCGAGTCCAGCATCCCCACTAGCTCAACAACAGTCACGTTGTCCAGCACTACCAATACCTCTACAGGATCTAATAATGCAGTACCTCATGTTGAGGAAGACTCGGTTGCCCTCCACTTTCCCCCGCCAGGGCTCACTAGGGCATACCCCCCTCAAGGCTGCTACATAGTTGTGCCTGTTGGCACGCGACTCTATCCCTACGTCTTACCTCCCCATCTAGGGAACTTGTGGCGAACTATCCTGGAGGGAGCCCTCGATAGTCCTCGCACCTTCAAGCGAGTCAACCTTGTCTTTCGGGATGTTGCAGAGACCAGACCCAAGCGTAGCAGTAGTGCAGGCGGTGCATTCCTTGGCCAAGACAACTCAGGACTTGACGTGCATCACCCTGCATCCCTCATTTGTGTTGACACATTGGACAAAGAACCAGGCCTGTCCCCTACACTAGGCCCTCCTCCTCCCCTGCAATTTGCCTTGTCCCTCAACGACCACGACCAACGACATCGTACCGATTATCCTCCATATGCAATGCACCCTACTCCGGCCAACCCCTTTGTATGGAACCTGATGGCTCCGGTCAGTCAAGAGATCCATCCGTATTGGACTACACCTTAGCGCCTTCCACGGCAAGGTTGCAATGTACGGCAAGGTATTTAAGATATACTGCCTACATTGGGACTGCACCAGCTTCTACATCAACAGCATAGTCCGCGTGTATGGCCATGACTACCGTGCCAACAATATTAGTATTTGCACGCCGTCCCACGCAGCCAGCATCACCTTTCGTCAATGGTGTCTCCACAATCTCAGCAAGCTCGCGGCAGCAGAAGGGCAGTAAGCACGGACACTCAGTAAAGATATCGGCCGCTGCAGGAGTAGCTTTGTGTCATGAACACTTAGTAATGACACGAGTAGAACCATCTAGAAGGCGCTGGAATGCGCTGAAAGGTTCTAGTGCACTTGTATGACTCGGTTAGGACTCAGATGACTCAACTGTGACTCGAAGGAACACTGTAGAATAGTATAAAACATAGTGGTAGGTACTAGAATGATCCAGTACAGTGCTTGTATAGTAGTATATAAGATGCCAGCTGAAGTCGAGGACTTCAGCTCGTCCATCTGTTATACATGCCCTTAGCGTTACAATGATTGACGACTCGGTTTTGGTCTCTCAAGCTCTAAGTCTAAGACATCGCAACCACACCCAACGACCACCACACTCGACCTAGTGCGCCTAGAGTCTTAACTCTCACACCTAAGTCACACGACACAGCCTAGACTATTACACCAAGTCTAACAGCCACGACGGTCCGGTACCCGCCTAAGGTACCAAGATCTAGGGGTTCTTATACTTTGATGTTGAGGTTGGTGATGGATCAGTCTAGGTGGTTACCATCCATCATTCCCCTTGGTCACCGCTTTTCTGGCTGCTCTGATCATCCTTTGATGCTGGTCTCCTGGCTACATGTCTCCCATCTGTTCAGATCAGCTGGTATAAGTTGGCATCAGTTGGTTGACTCCACAACTGATGCAGCCGGTCCAACAGTCAGTTGGTTGCTCAGATCACTGATTCCAACTGTCCATCTCCACATGCTTGATCCCTATCTCCATAGCTTCGATATCTCCCTTTGTTACCTGTTACCATAGCTTCCATCATAGCTAGATGTATTTAGAGAGCAGGGATGGAGCCCAGAGTCCTCAGACTTCGACTCGCAGCTCCATTCCCTTGCTCCCAGGTCTGTCCCTAGTTGTATCTCAATAGACTTCGACTCACAGCTCCATTCCCTTGCTCTCAGCTCGCTACAGCGCGTCAGACAGCCTCCTACGCTGTTAGGTTACGAGCCCTGCGCTCTGACCGCTTGTTTCGACGCTACTGCTGCTGCACACACGCCTCTGCCGCTGTTGCAAGCCTCCTGCCTTCCCCAGGCACTCCCTGCACATCTGTGCGGTGCTCTACGCTCCCCAGCGTCTCCCTACGCTCCCTGCGCCTCCTACGTCCCCTCCTGCGCGTTTCCCGTGCTGCCACAGGCTTTAACGGTCCCTTGACCTCCTGCAAGCGCTGGTAGACACATAGGGCTTCCGCAGCTACACATAAACACTTGGGTGGGCAGAACTTGGAGTGGGTTTATTCTCGTCTACCTTGATTGGCTTCGCCGCTTTCCATCCCTGGAATAAGCCACACCGGGTATCCATTCCTTTGTGCATGTGGCAGGGGTCAAGTTCGTGTCTGTGTGTGGCTCTCCCCATCTATAAGTAACTAGTTTTGCGTGATTTGCGCGATCTACGGGCTCTTTTCGCTTTTCTACATAGTTAGATAGCTTAGACAGACTCTTCTTCGCGCCTGGGACGTCCTACACGCACCGCACACCCTCCTACACCTCCACAACTCGGCTCACCTCGCCCTCCTTGCATCATCATCATCATCACCACCATATCTCACCTACTTCACCTATCTCCACCTCACTCCAGCATCAGGACACCATGTCCTCGTCTAAAGAGCTCA